CTTTGCTTAGTCCCCTGGACTTTTTTTTTCAGAAAATATTAGAATTACATACACGACTTTTCTACAGATTTATTATATGAATATATTGGTGCCACGTAGGTAATTTTGTTTTTTGCCGACCTTAATAATTAAGTTTTTTAATTCGACTGCCTTTTTTTTCTTCCTTGCGTCTTTCGTCCTTCGCTTTGCGTGTAAATTCCAGGCCGAGGCAATATTTGTGCCGAAGCACATCTTATAACCTAGGATGACCATGATGTCCATTATATTAACCAATTGCCTCTTGTAATCCACAATATTTTGTTAAAATTGATCAAAAAGCAAGATTTGCTTTATTATGTTACAGATGTTACAGTCGTCGGCACCAAGCAAGCACATAGACCGTCTGATTGTACATATAAGTGGATGCTGGAGAAGAGGCAATGTAAACAAAAATCAATTATTAAAATATATTGATAATCTAAATACTTTAAATGTACATAAAATTATCTTGTGTACATTGCCTTACACACAGGGTAGGCCGCAGGAAAATAAAATAAGATATGATTTAAATTTATTAATGAATAACTTTTCATGTAATAATAATTTAAACTTGACATTTAATTGTTACAATTATAATGATAGAATTAATTTAATAGATATAAATAATTTAATTATGAAATTTTTGACTAGAGATAGGTATTACCTATCAAAATATAATTTAAGACAGATAGCAAATGTGTTATCTTATTATTTATATACTAACTCAGCCAAGGACTTGGCTACACAGACATCTGCTTCTTTTGAGCAGTGTAATGACTTAATATGCAATTTGAAATCAGTTCCAAGTAATTTAAATTAGAAAATGAGACAATACAGGTAATCTCTAGCAGTTATAATAACTTAAATAATTTAGAATGTGGCTTACAAATCTTTAATTGTATGACTCCACAGAAAGATAATGAAAATTGTTTACACCTGGTGCATCAAAATATACAAGGCATGATAGGCAAAGACCTAGAAATTGAGTTGTTCTTAAATAGCAACAATATTCATATTTTGTGTATTACTGAACATTGATTAAAAGCTTATAATTTAATGTTTAACTTCAGTAATCACCAGGTGGTCAGTTCTTTCAATAGAGATACGGTTTTAAGAGGTGGCTCCTTAATATTAGCTAGTAAATTATTATCAAGAACGTAAAGACATTGTGAGCCTCTCTGTTGAGCGAACTGTAGAAATGGCATGTGTTGAGTTTGAGCACCTCATTATTGTGAGCGTCTACAGACCCACATGTTGTACATATGATACTTTTGAAGACATTATGGAGGAAGTTTTTGCTAAGCTTAATAAACAGAATAAATCTGTTGTAATATGTGGAGATTTTAATATCAATCTCCTAGAAGCTTCCTCCATCAATATTAAATTTAGATCATTGTTTAAATCATATGGTCTTTTTAATTTATTTATAGAGCCAACGCGTATTTCTCAATATAGTGCAACATGTATAGATAACATTTTTACAAATGTGAAGCCGTTGCATAAATGTATAATTCAAAAATTAAGTTCTGATCATTGTGGACAAGTAGTTTCGTTACCTTATGTTCACAAAAAGCAAGTAGATGAGAAAGTTGTGTCTGTTCCAGTAAATGCACGTCGCTTGGAGAAATTTAGAAGTAACATAGTGAAAATCTTCCATCACTTTCATACCAAAATGATCCTAATTTTTTGTATGGAACATTATTTAAGCTTATTTGCAATGAATTTAATAATACTTTTACTTCTAAAACATTCTCCTTGAACAGTCGGAAGTCATTCAATGAATGGGCGACAGTAGGAGTCCATAAGAGCAGGCATAGGTTATATGATCTTTACCACGAAAGGTCATATAATCATGGCGTCGAATTTAGGGAATATGTAAATAAATATTCAAAAATCTTTAAAAGAGTGTGCTGCATAGCCAAGTCTTTGCATTTGAGCAACAAAATTAAGACGGCTTCCAATAAAATTAAAATGACATGGAGTATAATTAATAGCGAAACTGGTAAGATCAAATCTCGCAATTCAAATTACCAGTTAAGTGTTAACAACAAATTAACTGTATCAGATCAGGACGTAGTAATGGTTTTTGAGAAATATTTTACTGATATTCCGATCTTGACCACTAAGTCACTGAATTCTTCTCCTGCCGTCGCTGAATCATTACTTAAACAAAATGTAAATGCGTGTACAAAGAATTTTACATTTCATAAAGTGTCATCAAAAGATATTGTAAAATATTTTAAAACTATTGATGTTAAAAAAACTGCGAATCTGTGGGGGATTTCCGTTAAAATTATTGCGTCTATAATAGATACAATCGCGCCTCATTTAGCTATTATTTTTAATACTATTATCGAATCTGGTGTGTTTCCTGATTTAATGAAGCATAGTAAAGTAATACCTTTATTTAAATCTGGTATTACATTAGACTCCGCCAATTTTAGACCTATTTCTGTACTACCTACACTTAGTCAGGTTTTTCAAAAAATTGTTCTTGATCAAATGTAATTTTTTTTTAATATAAATAATTTACTTCATAAAAATCAATTTGTTTTCACAAGGGGTCGCTCGACAACTGATGCCGGTATTGAGCTGATTAAATATATCTTTAATGCATGGGAGAATTCACAGGATGCTTTGGGTATATTTTGTGACCTATCCAAGGCCTTCGATTGTGTTCACCATGAAACATTAATCAGGAAACTTCAACACTACGGTGTAAGAAGTGATGCTCTTAAATTAATTATTTCATATTTAAGTGAAAGAACGCAAAAAGTTGTCATTAACAATATGAGCTCTTCTGGATCCATGGTACAAATGGGCGTGCCTCAAGGCTCAATTCTCGGCCCCTTTCTGTTTCATGTATACCTTAATGACTTACCTTACATAGTAGGGGATAACCATGATATAGTATTATTTGCAGATGACACTTATTTAATTTTCAAATTAAGTCGACAATTACTAAAATATGACGAATTAAATAATGCTATATCTAAATTAGTAAATTGGTTCAATGTTAATAATTTGCATTTAAATGGCACTGAAACTAAATGTATGAAATTCATGACTCCAAATGTCAAACAATTAAATACTAATATAATTTTAAATGCGGAGAAACTGAGTCTTGCAGATACCACCATTTTTCTTGTAATCACACTAGACGCGAAGCTTCAATGGAGCCCCCATATATCAAAACTAGCAAGCAGACTTAGTTCTGCAGCATATGCTGTAAAAAAGATTAGAAGTCTAACCAGTCTTGAAACAGCTAGACTAGTTTACTTTAGCTATTTCCATAGCATAATGTCGTATGGTATTTTGCTATGGGGACACGCAGCTGACACTGAAATTATATTGTTTTACAGAAGAGGGCCATAAGAGCAATTTATGATTTAAAGCCTAAAGAGTCGCTGCGACAAAAATTTAAGGAAATTAATATATTAACTTTGGCCTCTCAATACATTTATGAAAATGTAATTAATGTACGTACACAAAAATAAAAGTAGTTTTACAAAAATAAGTGATGTTCATTCTGTAAATACTAGGAACAAACACAAGCTAGTAGTACCGGTTACTCGACTCAATCGAGTCAGTAATTCATTCTTGGGGTGATGTATACGCTTTTACAACAAAATTCTAGAAAATATACAAAGTTTGACCTGCTCAAAGTTCAAAAACTTTATTAAACTAAGTTTGTATAAAAAAGGTTATTATAATATTAAGGAATTTATGGATGATAATAATCCCTGGAAATGAGGTGATCGCTACCAAGCTATTTCTAATTTGTTGTGTTATTAATTTGTGTAACATCATGATTGTAAGCTGTTATTTAAAAAAAAGTCCCGCTGGGTTTCTTGCTAGTTCTTCCCAGGACAGAGGTTTTTTCCGAACCAGTGGTAATCAAACAAAAGAGTGACTTTCAATAAGTATTATTTATAATCTATATTGAATAAAAAAGTTTCTGTTTCTGCTGTGGACCGTAGACACATACATTTGTCAAATCAAAATTTGTAAAATCCAAATGTAATGCGCTCAAATGCAAATGAATTTATATTAATAAGCTATTCGGTATAAGCAAGTTATTATGAAATTTCGATGGAATCTGATTTGCCAAACTTGACCCAATTGTTGCAAAGAAGTTATTGTAATGCTCGCAAATTTCATTACTACTATTTGTATTTCAATAATAAATATTTATATCAATTCCGGCATACACTTACTTAAATTTTTCCTTAAACTCATTCTCATCATAAACCTCTGGTGACTCTGCCAATAAACTTAAAAAAACTCCTCAAGAATCAGATCGGAAAGGTGTATTTTCCAATCATAACCTTTGAAAAAAAATATTTATTACCATGGACAGTTACCCCGGAATTTCTTTTTTAACATACTGTTAATATAAATACGTAGATACTTAATAATAATAATAATAATAATAATAAAACCATTTAATCAACTCAACAAACAGCACTGGCAAAAAATAAACAATCAACATGTACATATGTAGAAAACAGCAAGTATAATTAATATTAGCGAAAAATAAAAAAATAAAAAAATAAAAGAAGAAACACTATAACATTCAACAATAAATAAAAACAATGTACAGGAAATGTGAGCGTTGCAATGCTGAGTCGATAGGGTCAGCTGCTCAGCATAAGCTGACACCCCTATTGGGATGACCAGCGCTGGTATTCTGCAGAAACCCGTGTGTGTGTTAACGCGTCGGTCAGTGGCAGATGCGAGAGTGAAATTCTTAATGTAACGAAGGCGTAAATAAAATTGAATATTAATCATTTCCAGCGAATCTCTTAATGTAACAAAGGCATAAATAAAATTGAATAGTATTTGAGAATTGTATAATTAACAATCAATAGTGCGGCAACGATTTTTACATAAAATCGTAAACTGAACATATAATATAACCTAGTTTTTTCTTATGGGAGTTGTGCTTTTTTGTTTTTTTTTTTTTTAAGCTATCTTTTTTTGGATTTCCATAAGAAAAAGTCTGATTTTAAATCTAAACGACGATTTCGTTTGTGCGTTCCTAATTGGTGGTGGGATGTTATTCCAGCATTTGGTTGCTGCATATCGAAAGCTGCCTCTAAACATTGCGGATCTATGTCGCGGTATTTTTAGGTGGCGACTGCGATTACCGCTGATGTTCCCTCTGCTCCATTCTAATTTGCTGCTAAGATAACTAGGTGTCTGCGATCTCAAAATGCCAAAAAGTAGACATGCTAAATGGTGCTGTCTGCGGTATCTCATGTTTAAAATGTTGTGTTGATTCAAAAAGAGTGTTACGTGACTACGGGGTGGAATTCTAAAACAAAAGCGAGCGCAGGCATTTTGAACCCGTTGAATCAACTTTTCTGTTCTTACATACAAGCATGGGCCGTAAACTGTGTCGGAATAATTTAATTTAGATAGAACGAGAGAGTCTACTAGGCGTACCCGAAGTTCTTCACTTAGATACTGTCGAACCTTATACAGGACTTTTAATCTATAAAAACAGTTGCGGACTACCTTTGATATATGGTTCTCGTATCGCAAATTTGAGTCCAACTCTAAGCCGAGGTTACGAGCCTCAAAGACACGTTCTAAAACCTCAGCACCTAACTTCACTTCACAATTAAGGGGAACATTATTTACATGAAATTTCGATCCGAATACTATATACTTTGTTTTAGTAGGATTAAGAATTAGACAATTATTTGTTGACCATTCCAATATTCTACCAAGGTCCTCGTTAAGCGACTGCACTGCCGAGCGCCATTCGTTAGATTTAAAAGAAATATATATTTGTAAATCGTCCGCGTATAAGTGATATCTGCAAGATTTTATACAGTTTACGATATCTGTTGTGTAGAGTATAAATAATAGAGGAGATAAGATCGTTCCCTGCGGAGTTCCTCTTGTTAAGGGGCTATACGTTGAACGAAGCGGTCGACCGTCTACTTGAGTGATTTCAACATATTGACCACGACCCGTAAGGTAGCTATGAAACCAACTGACCGTATCGGGATCAAAACCATAATATGTCATCTTAGCTAGTAGTAATTGAGTATTCATGCAATCAAAGGCCCTTGAAAAATCTAGAAGTACTAGTAAGGTACACATACCAGCATCCTGTGCATTAATAATATTGTCTGTAACATCTAGAAGAGCTGTGGTTGTGCTATGGTTTTTTCTAAATCCAGACTGAAATTCGGAAAGTATTTTGTTACTTTCAAGGTATTCCCTAAGTTGCATCGCAACAGCTTTCTCAACAATTTTTGACAAACAGGGTAATATACTAATGGGTCGTAGGTCCTTAGGTTCCTGTGGGTTTGAGTTTTTAGGCAGTGGCCTAACGATGGCCGTCTTCCAGACGTCTGGAAAGGTAGAAGTTACTATTGAACAATTAACGATAGATGCGATAGCACCTAGTGACTGTGGCAAGGTTCTAAGTAGCATTCCCAGAGAGATCCCATCTATGCCCTCTGCTTTCGATTTAAGGTTTAGTATAATTTTCGAAATAATGTCTTGTTCAACATAATGAAGGGAGAATTTTATATCTCCTATAAAACGGTTGCTATTGAAAAACAATAAAACTGAGGGCGAAACAGAGGAGGTCCCGGGTATATCAAGAAAATGTTTGTTAATTATGTTGGGATCTGTCAGATGCGCAGGTAAATGATAATTTTGTTTAGGAGGCAAAACAGATGATTTTAAGTTGCGCCATAGCATTTTTGGTTTATTTAAATTATTATTTATATACTGATTGAAGTATGCTTTCTTTTCATGATGAATTGATTGTACAACTATAGTTTTAAGATTTTTATAATACGTCCTATGTGACTCCATTTTTGATTTCAAATATCGCGAGTGAGCAGCATTCCGTAATCGGATCATAAGCTTTATATTGTCTGTTACCCATGGATGAGGTTGCTCCTTAAGTACAATTCTTTTTATGGGAGCTATTAAATCTAATAAAGTAATAATATGAGAATTAAACGTATTCACTATTTGGTTAACATCACACATTTGTTCCAATGAATTCCAGCTAATTGAGTCTAAACAAGAATTAAGTATATCAATCGGTACGTCATTAAGAGGTCTGTATATAAGTCTTCTCGGAAATGTTTTTTCTCTTTTACAGCATACTTCACAAGTTAACATTACATGATTGCTAAGGGGCGCAACTGGTTCCAACGTAACATGTTGCGTTCCAGTATTTGTACATATTATATCTATGATGGATTCGCTATGGTCCGTGTAATGTGTAGGAGACATAACTATTTGCTGCAGATCTACACTGCTTAAAAATATTTTAAGTTTATGAACCTTACTATCATTTAAACCAAGAATATTTATGTTAAAATCGCCGAGCAAAATAAAAAAATCACACGAAGCTAACGAACTTATAGTTAATGTGATTGCATCGAAAAATAAATCAACGTCGAGCCAAGGCGGGCGATATGCTGTTCCGATAGCAAGTTTTCCTGTCCCAGTGTTAAGAGTTAACCACATCTGTTCCACAGACGTGTGCGAAGGATCCACCGGATGGTGATAAGTGTGCACATTTATGCCATGCCTTATGTAGAACCCAACGCCTCCGCCGCGGCCATTGCGCACGCTCAGCGGCCGCGGCGTGTGGCGCAGACTGTAGCCGGGCAAACGAGGCGCGCAGCCCTCTTCTCCCGTACGCAGCCATGTCTCGTTCAGCGCCATTATGTCCACCGAGTGACGTTCCATCGCTGCGATAAATTCCTCGTGATTCGTATTTAACGAGCAGACGTTGAGAAAACCAAATCTATAGTATAATTTAAGGCCTATGAACAAAACAATTACAATAAAAAATTGAAATATTTACATTTAACCAAAAAAAAAAACAAAAAGAATTAGTAAGAATAACAACGCCTATTAGAGTAAATAAAAAAAAACGTTTCGATAGTGTGCGCATGATCAACTTTAAAATTTGTACTGCCACTAATAATTGTATTATGCGAAAATGAATAAATTGAGCTTTATTGTAAGTAAAAACCCGGACAATCAGCATTGAAACGCAACACAAAACATAGTCGATTAAAATACGTATAAAGAAAAAAAAGATTATAAACGGAAAAGATATATTACAAGGAGAATATTTAGTGAAAACTCGGACAATCAGCATTGCAACGCAACACAAAACATATTCGATTAAAATAATTATAAAGTAAAAAAATATTCTAAACGGCAAAGAGGTGCTACAAAGACAATATTCTGCGATTGCAAATGTAAAAAAGACATAAATATGGAGCAAATAATGTTTTTTTGTGAAAAAGTAACATTGTTGTGGCATATTGAATAAAGCAATATTCAACTGAATGACATACTGAATACAATCAACTTCATACAAGATAATAGAAAAAAATAGCAAAAAATACATAGACCAACAAATCAAGATATAAAAATTTTCTTTATGTCATTTTCATTTTTAATTCGTTCGGCTACCTTACCGTCATCCTTTCTAGCAAAAATGTTACCATTTCTCGTCCAAACATATTTCCACTGGGCGCGTGATGCCGCTTCCCGCGCCATGCCAAACAGCTGTCGGTTCAGCCGCGTGAGACGCTCGTTGACGAAGAACCGGCGCGGCTCCCCCGGCATGCTGATGTCGGCCGAGGTGAGGCCGCGGCGCACACGCGCAGCACGCAGCAAGTCATCGCGCAGGGCTCGGCGCGCCAGCCTGACGACGATGGCGCGCGGGCGCGGCGACGCGGTCGCGTCCTCAGCGGCGCGGTTGCGCCGCGGGAAGCCCACCCGCTCCGCGAATACAACATCTCGGTCCTCCAACTTCATGCCTAGCTTTACAGCTATAAGCCCGGTTACATGCAAGATGTTTTCATTTTTTTCTTCAGGTAGGCCGGAGATTTCCAGATCGTTATGCAGAGATTCTTGTTCACGCTCGTTCAATTGTCGCTTCAATTCGGTAATCGTGTTTTCGAGCTTCTCCACATTGCCGGGAGATTTTACTTCGCAGCTTGTCTCCAGTGTAGACACTTTGTCTTCCAAGGCAGTTAAACGTGCGCCGCATGAATGCAGCTCTGCTTTGAAGTCGAGAATCTCCCTCCTGCAGTCCGCAATCTCAGTTCTTGTTTTGCTCAGCTCACTGCGCAGATCTCTTATCTCCTGCATAAACTCCCGTAGCATGTGGTTGTTCGTTGTGGGTGTATTCTCACTTAGATCTGATTGAGGGGTTGACTTTTCTGACGACATATCACCACATAACGTTTTTGATGCCCTCGAGGATGACGTCGGGTCTGGTTTGGTTTTGACTTTGCAGCCTTGGCACGCCCATCCTTGAGGTGTTGTCCCCGTCGGTACAGAACAGCAAGCACGATGATAATTATTTGCGCATTTTGAACACCTCACACAGTCCACGTTGGACAAAAATTTACCACAGTACCCGCACTTAGGCATTTTCTTATTAATTGTAAGTGTAGCGGTATTAGTATCACTGTTCGTGTAAAGATGGCGTTGTGCTTAGTTCCGTTGATAATTTTATCCACAATTTTACATGTATTGTTTTGTGGCGAACAAAATACACTGAATTGATCCAATTAGAGCTCTCGGCAAAAATTAAAACTATTTTACTAATTGTTTGTACATAATATTTTGTTTTTTACTCGGAGGGTATGTCAGCAGCAGCAGTTCACAGTCCACCTAGTATCATTTGTTAATTTCTTTTTAATTTTAGCACATATTCACTGGAAAACACTTCCACACATTAATTATACGGCACAATTAACTTAGAGATGGAACTGACTATAAAACACCGATGTTAAATATTTTTAAAACTAAGATATCGAGTCGGCCTATAAACGTCACAGACCGACGCCATAACACATCACATAACACAAATATAAATAGGTATCTACTTAACTAAGTAGATACCTATTTATATTTTATAAAATGTTTTGATGGGGAAATAAAAAACAGGGATGCGGAGTACATAATTGCTGCTTTATTTTTCATATAACTATTACTTTTGATAATTACAAACATTTAACAATTATTAATTAAATACATTATAAAAGTTTATTTTAATATTTGACTTCTTAAATATCAATGTAAGCTTAATAATTTATAGTATCTGAGACGTAGTTCTACGCTGTTGGCCGCATGAGGAAGCTCAAGGTCGCTAAGTTTTTACTATAGCAAGGGCTATACTCGGAATTCCTCTGCGTAATAGAAAAAGTAGTAGAAATGAAGATGTCCGCAGTAACAAATTGTCTGCCACACCGAATTTCGGTCACGGCGGCCAGTCCCAACGGTGATTATCCATCTCCACAAAATTATAATGCACGAGTATGTGCGCAAGCTCCGCAACCTATCCGTAGTAAATCTTGGCATGGCATTTGGCTTAGTTGAAATACCAACCACATTGTTATCTTCTAAATATTAAAAAGCTAACAACGGCGCTAAAGATATTCTACTTTATTCTATAGCAGCCTGTAAATGTCCACATTTGGACCTGGGCCTCTACTGTTGTAGACATGAATACCTTAATGTTCCTCCTTGGTAGGCGATCGCAGTGAGTTACGACACGCACCTTAAGGCTACTGCCTGTGGCCGGTCTAATCTTATATGAGACATTAACGAGATGACTATATCAGCATCCATTGGAAGCTGTAAGTTTTCTATGACATTCTCAATAGTCGCTTACATGGAGTGATTTCTCTTAAACCGTCACCTCATGCACGTTACGCTAGAGATATTAATATATATCTCCACAAAAAACAGTAACTAACACTAACTCTTCTTAATCTAATTGTATAACGCGCTTTAGATCTATGCGAAAGGATTCGCGAGGATAGATTAAGATCAGTGTTATAGGAACGGGTTCAAATAAACATTGTATAACCAGGCCTGAAAACAAATGATTGCTTCAGCTAGTATAAACCCTACCAAATTGAGCAAGCTCGCGGCATAGTAGCCCATTAATAGATTTACATTACGCGATGTGTGCGTACGTGCATGTGGGCGTGCATGCGTGTTGGCGTGCGTACGTGTGTGCGTGCGTGCATGCGTGTGGGCGTGCGTGCACGCGTGCGTTCGTGTAGGCGTGCGTGCATACGTGATTGCGTGCGTGTGTGCAAGCGTGCGTGCGTATCACTTTCATTTATTCATGGCTATAATATAACTTAGAAGTAAATATTTTTGTTACTAATATAATGATAGTGATGATGGGATAATAATGTCCCACAGACTGATTTCGTCTATGGCCAGCACTTCTAAAAATTTTCGAAAGATATCAACTGTACAGAATTTAATAATTTCTAATATTTACGCAAGCACTATAAGTACATTAAATGAAACAATGTTTTATCGATTTTTTGTTTCAGTTGGTAACAAAGGACACACATAATTTTGAAATTTCGAATTTGGAAAAAAGAAACAAATCGGATTTAATGCACAAATATTTTGGGCTGATGATGTTTTATTATTTTAACAGTTTATTCTCACTGTAGGATTACACTGCTCGCCTTCAAAATGTTTTTGGGAGAGAAGCACCTTATTTAAGTTTCGTAAGATACTTAAATAAGGTGCTTCTCTTCGTACTAACTTAATCTTACTTTCGTAAGATTAAGTTAGTACGCAGAAATTGACCTCGGCCGTGCTTCTCTCCATGATGAAATTCTTCAACGTCTGCTATCAACTGCGATCACTGAGTAAATGTAACATCTATGAGGAGATTCGATGACATTTGGGTATTGGTATGTGTTACGCAAAACTTTCAGTGTACCCCACGTATAACGTAAATTTATATGTGCGTAAATTTAAATGGACTGGTTGCTCGTTTTATTATTCTTATTTAAAAAAAAAACAATACCCCTTCACTAAGATTTTACTTCGGCATCGTGCAGCTTGCATACATTAATTGCACAAGGACAAACATGCTGACTCAGAACAATTGTTTTTAGGCCATGCAAATACTTGTTCCGTGTGGAATTTAAAACACAGCTATCTCATATCATGTGATGCTGTTAGTTTAATTAAAGGCGCTTAATAAATACGCCGTATTACAATATTCGGGTCCATCACAAAGATATTAGACAAGTTTGTCTTTTTATAAGCTTTGTTCTTTAATTATGAGCAGGCGCTTAGTTTCAAGCAAGGTTCTATGTAAATAAAGGACTTTATTAACATACTAGCGACCAGCCCGGGCTTCGCCTGGATAGAATCCATTTATGTGGCATTATTTAGATTTCAGATATTCCAGATTGAAGATTAATCAGAATGAAGAAAGATTGAAAAAAGGTCATTTATTTTATCAATCTTTATTTTTTTTAAAAAATCTTCAGTTTTCATATAAAATATGCTGTCTATCTGTTCGTAAAGTTTCATCACAATCGGTTCAGCCATTACTAATATTAACCCGTACAGACAGACAGACAAAAACATAAAACCCGCCTGTCTATTGTGAACTCTGTGGCGAATATCATTATCTATAAAGTAATATATTGGGGAAGTCTATGTTTAGTGCTTCACTTTGATAGGCTGTAATGAAATAAAAACTGTTTAAAAAGTTTAGTTATAATATTATGGAATAGTTAATAATAACCCCTGAGAACGCGGTGTTTGCTGCCAAGTCATTTCTTAAATATATTTATTTTCTAAATAAGTGTACTACTTATTTATTTAAGCAATTGGTAAAGGTTACTTTAAAAAATTCCTACTAGATTCCTTCCAGGTCCTTCCCACGACAGAAGCTCCGAACCTGTAGCAGAAGTAAATAGTGACCTTCAGTAAGCATTATCTTCTATACATATAATAAAACTGTAAATAGCAGATGTCTGTACATTGTATATTTTTGTAATAAAAGTGATTGAGGGGTACTAAAAATAAGTAATTAAATACATTTCTACCATTTTTAGAATTTTCTGTCTGTCTGTCTGTCTGTCTGTCTGTCTGTCTGTTTGTTTGTTAACGTATCACGTATAAAGTACTAATTTATATCATAAGAATTGTTAAGGAAATTATAAAGTGTATCTTCGTGTTACATTTAGTCTTTATTTCATTAAAATCAGTTCATTCCATCAAAAGTTACGATAAATATTCTGAAGTATGGGTAGGGAAGTATAGGTACGAATTTGCTCAACGGTGGCTTTGTTTGAGTCATCAAGTGCATTTTAAACTAATATCATATCATAAATCATAGTTAAATTATGTAAAATAATGATATAATTACGTATATTTAAAACGCAGTAAACAAAAGTATTAACTAAAGCTGAAGCACAATAGTTAACCTATTTCTTCGATAGATGGTGGTGTTGTGAAAATGTAATGCAATTGCAATGTGGTTTTTACTGCTAATATATATGCTGCTAATCTTTATTATATTACTCGCTACCCTACTGCGTGTTGACAAACTCAATTTATTCTTTACCGCCGAGTACTCTATGTGGTAAATCAAATTTTAAAAGAGCTATTAACAATTGCGTTGGTTTTGGCGAGAGTCAAACTTTATTTTTTGCTTACTGTGCAGGCACTGATTTATAAGTTCTCTTGCGTTTTATATAATGTATCAATCGCGTCAATTAATCTCTTTTATTTTTAGAATTGATGTTAGCAGCGCCATCTCTCTTTAAATATATACATATAATAAAAATGATGATAACATGTTGTGTCTCTTTCTGTACATTGTATATATATTTTGGTGGCTAAAATCATTATGGGGAACTGAAAATAATTAAATAAGAACATTTTATAATTTTTAGAATTGTCTGTCTGTCTATTTGTCTGTATTATATGAACGCATCACGTCTAAAGTAAACATCTTTTATTTTCAAAGAAATCGTTAAGAAAATCATAAAGCGTATCTTCGAGTTACATTTAATCTTTGTTTTATTAAAATTGGTTAATTCTATCGAAAGTAATGATTATTATTTTGAAATGTAGGTTCGAATTTGTTCAATGGCGCCATAAAATCTCAGAAATAGTAATAAAAAGATTTGTGTGTAAAAAAAACGTTCCATAATAATTAATAGATTTATACTTAAAACACAAAAAGAGATTTAAAAAGGATGTTTTCTCACACAAAGGACGTAATAGATGGAGTTGTACAAATTACAAACTTTTCTGAATTGCTATGTTGAGATTTTTCGCCGATGAATCGTATTGAGACTTACTGAAGAAATTTGTATCCATCGAAGCTATACAACGGAACCCGACCATAAATAAAAATTTTGCAATGAAATGTCGTGATATTGTATTTATAATATAAATAATATAATATGCAAAATCAGTACTGCCATTTTAGCGCTTTGGGAACTAGATTTAGCGCTTTTTTGGAATGTATTTCGAAATTTTAGCGCCTAGCTTAATCCAGCGCTTTTTGGTGTATTTAGCACACATTTCAATATTTTAGCGACTAGCGGGTTATTAACTCTTTTACTGCAGCACTCTTAGTCCACATTACCGATAATAATAATAATGACCTTTATTATTTTTTCCCACAAATAGTACATTGCAGTTTATCCTTTTCAAACATATTTTTTCCAGAAAACAAAGAGCATGGGAGACGAGTCCAAACTAGGATACCCTGTGCTATGGATCTCCTGGCTTCCCCTTTAGGATGATCAACTTGATTTTTTTACCGACGACTATAAGCGGGGAAATCCCCTTTATTAAAGTTTTCGTTCATGGTTTTGGCAACGCATTTATTTTGCTTTATTCAGTTTCAGTCAGTTGCTTAGAGCACAGCTAAGTTAAAAGTTACTTAGAAGTTATAACACAAAGAAACTGTGTAGCAACCGCAATCAGATGCTGACATCTGAAACTAAGTTGCGAAATACATTGCACTTTAAAACAATTAATGACATTTTTATTGTTCGTACAGTACT